GATAATTAAAAGCATGAGTGTCCARGCAAGCCCATACTACAAGATCAGAAGGCAATGGCAGTGCAGGAGGTGGTTAATCAACTCACTAGCTTCCTTTCTCTGATGATTCAGGCTATAACGATCTAATTTTCTGCTTCTAAATAAGCCAGACTCTTGCAACTTAGGAAAAGGTGCTATATTATTTTGTAATTATGTAGCTCAGCACTTATCTTCTTTAGTTCAGCTACTGGAGCTGAAACAGAAATCAATTAGGGACCTCAGGATTTACCGACGGACTCCAAACTCTTTATTCTAACGCTGAGAGACTGTCTCACTCCTGAAACGGTTTAATCGTTCATTTGACCACATTCAGCAACACGTCCCTTGAGGCTGGCTTGAAGAGTTACACTAATCAAAAGTCATCAATCCTGGTATGTAAATTATGAATACAAAGATCTATTAGGAACCCTTTTAGTGTTCTTGGAGATCTTAAATAAAGTCTTGTAATTTTCTTTGACAAGATTTTTTTGCTTTGTGTTACTTTCATCCTKGGCACAATTCCACTGGACTTGGAAGAATTACAACAGGTATTAATTTAGTCCTTCCATACATGTGGCTTTTGCTTTATATACCTTTAAGAATGGCCTTTTTTTTTCTTTCACTTCTTCGTAGTATGCTATATCTGGCACTTATTTTTTTGCTTACAGTGATTTAAGAGTATAAGCTAAACTTAAATGTAATGGAAATTCACGAGGTTTGTGGGATTTTTTCTCCATTTCATAATATTTTGATGCTCATATGAAAGCTTCACATCCCTGAGTCTTGTGATCATACAAGGATTTCAACTCCCATTTGACTTATACCTACATATGAGAGAGAGAGCACAAAAAAGGTCCTGGTTCTTTTGACAGTTGAGAAATACATATAAACATTCCATTTAAATGCTCTACACTGACATAAAATAACCCCCAGATGTATCATACTTTAAAATGACCATCTCAGATAGAGGAAAGGAGATGGGAAGTCAACATTATACAAACAGCTGGAACTGCCAGTCCCAAAAGCCCTGAGAGCACAGCAAGACAGTCACCATGTCYACCTTAGATATGCCCTGATCATGAAATGCTGCAATTCCTGCTACCGCTCATCTCACTGATGAGAGCACACCAGGTTTTCACCAAGGCATCAGGATGTTACCTATTGATCTGGGGTCTTAACACACCAAAAAGAAAAAAAAAAAGAATGGGGAGGGACTTGGAGCTGAAACATCATAAATCCTTCAGAGCTAGGAAGGTTAAGTACTGTGCCCGGCGCAGGCCACGGCACCATCCATCACTGCACGCATCTAACACCTGGACAGGGTTTGATAACCTTGGCAGAGGGACATGATGAAACRGAATCACAGAATGAACAAGGTTGGAAGGGACCTCTGGAGATCACCTAGTCYAACTCTCCTGCTCAAGCAGAGATACCTAAAGCACCTTGCACAGGATCGTGTCCAGACAGGTTTTGAGCACCTCCAAGGATAGAGACTCCATGGCCTCTCTGGGAAACCTGTTCCAGGGTTCATCCTCACAGTCAAGATTTTTTTTTTCTCAAATTCAGGTGGAATTTCCTGTATTTCATTTTGTGGTTGTTGTCTCTTGTCCTCTCACTGGACACCACTGAAGAGAGTCTGGTCCCATCCTCTTTGATACCCTCCATCAAAATATTTGTGCACACTGATAAGATCTCAGTCTTCTCTTCCCTACGCTGAACAGCCCCATGATTTGCTGGCAACTCCTAATGCAGGCCAGGATACCCATGGCCTTCTTGGCCAAAAGGGCATTGCTAACTGAGGCACTAACTGAGAAAGCAAAGGTGTTCAAGGATAATCTGTTTCYTTTCCAAGCTCTGTGGAAAGCATGTAAAACATTGATAAGCACCATGGCAAAATCAGCTATGGATTTCAATGCTGACACTGTGAGGGCACCTGCAGAGTGTGATTTGATGGGTTTCTGACAGAATTGACATACTTTAGTCTCATTTAGTAATRAGAAATTTTTCTTTTGTGTCCATATCAACTGTTCTTTGATCTTGCAGAATTTGTACATATTTGCAGTCTTTCTAGTGTAACCTCATGGTTGTCTTTGCTCTTGTATTTACAGTGATGGTTTAGCATATGTTCAACCAAAGACACATGCTGCTGCACTCTCTTGTTAACTCAAAACACATGTTCACTCTCAGTCTTCAGTAGAAAGACGAGAGTTCCTCAGCAATTCYGCCTAAAAAGTGACACTTACTTCCCTGAAGGAACAAAACTTGCTTTCCTCCGCAGTAAATCCCATTCTTCGTACACTGAAGTGACACTTACTYCTCTAGGCAATATCTACTGGTGCCTAAAGCCCTCTGTTTCTTAGTCACTTTCTGTCTTTGATGATGTGAGCTAACTACATCCTTAGTTGTTTCTGGGCTTAAAAAAAAATAGATCAAGTACTACCCGAAAGGAAAATACACTAGAGGCTATTTGGCATATAAAAGATGCATAAACGATCTGTTCACCACCACTACAGAAATCTTCCCCCTCAGATATGTCTCCCTGCTTACACATTCATTTGCCACAACATTTTAATAAAAGAGAGATTAAGAAAATGTCTGAAATAGAAACTAGATTAAAACTTTTAATATGGCTTAAATTAGTCTAAGCTAWCATATATAATTATTTTTCATTTCTTAGAGGAGCTGACTCAAATTTTCAAGACCTAATAGATTACTATGCACAATAAATATCAGTTGTATCAGACAAATACATGCAAGGACATGTGACTTAAAACTCAAGGTAATAGTTCTCTACAGGTTTGATTATGCTCTTTCAYCACAACTTACCACCTATGGCCGTGGTCCTGAAAAGACCAAAAAAATATAAACAATTTTAGGAACGAAACCAGAAGCAAAACTTCACATCTTATTTTAGAGCTAGGCAACACTGTAGGAATCAGGCAGAATTTAAATTCCCTGGTCATTTTCAACTGCATTTTTTGTTCGTTTGTTAAGCATAATGCACTTTTACTGAGTCTAAAAAGTAACAAAAGGCTTAGGCTCCCATATTTCCTGCCGTTTCTTAAGTAAGAATTATATTTACCCTTGTTTAAGTGTGTTCAGAACAGAAACATTTCCATACAGAATAAACCTCCTGCTGTAGTTCAGAATTGCTCAGATTCTATGTATCGCACACTGCCCCCAGTAAATCACTTCTTGTTAAGAGACAACCTAGTCTTCAGTCAGACCTGCAAGAATCCGCTATGCAGAACCATTTATTTTAATACCTTAACTTGCCATTGGGAACTTTTCTGGGGATCAAATCATAATCAATGCCAACACTTTTTCCAAAATGAACTGGATCTGCTGAAATTGAAGACTTCACTGACACGAGTATCAATTATTAGGTGAACATTTTACCCTTGCTGAAATGCAGCTACCTCTGACAATAGTACATAATAGCTTATTACAACACTATCCCAGGATGAAAAGAGGAAATACATAACATTTAGAGCAACCCAATAAATTTAAGAATTGAAAGCTTAATCGACTGAACCACTATTTGGGCAGTACAACAAGATAATATTACTGTCTTTGCAAGAAGTGCTGGGAGGTTTTTAGGGTTGGTTTATCCAGTGAGTTTCAGGCAGGTGCAAACTCACTTTGTCCTCATGATGAGTCACTGGATGCAGACCAGCTCTGATCTGAAAACTGTATGTATGTGAAAGTGTGCCTCTGTGCCCACTCTGGAGAGGCTTACCTCTAGGCAGGAATAACCTTACCTTGGAGGATGTTAACAGAGCTACCATGAAGTATCGTGTCAAAGATGCAGCCAAACAGGACTCCGAAAGAGCAATTTGCTTGGCTGCAAGTAAGACAAAGGCCATCTTCTCTAATTTCTGATGCTTTGCAGGATTTTACCTAGTAAAATTGCTTATTATGCTTAGCATTCTCTCTGTCAACAAGATCTGAAAGTTCTTTTTGATTAATAGCTTCACTAGATTTAAAAATGTCTGGCCAGGCTTCAAGGCACCAGGACTGCCAGCCAGGTTGTTAAATCTCTGTTCATCTCGGTCTGCAGTGGCTAACGCAGGGACTGCTGATAGCCAAATGTATTTTCCTCCACCCTTTGGCTCTGCTCTGCCTGCCTGGAGACTCCCTGTCAGCCCTTGTGCCTGGGATGATGGCAGGGCAGGCTGAGGAGAGCAAAGCCAGTCCTGTCTGCAGCAGAGACCATGGAGAGCCCGCAAGTCTACTGGAGAAGCCAGTTTCCACTCACAAGGATTACGGCCAGCGTTGARCTTTCCTGGAGAAGGACTGGCATAGGAGAGTCCTTCAACAGAAATACGCTGTTTYAAGATATTCTTCTTTTAATAATGTTGCCAACACACACATAGGAAAAAAAAAAATGATGGGCACTTTATATGAGAATTTGCTCCAAGGACACAAGAAGTCTTTATCTTGGGTTAAACTCTAGTGTCCTCAAACTTCAGAGTTACAGTTGTCTTTCTATATTCCCTCCAGGCTGCTCTGATTTATGGCTCAGGGATGCTGTGCAATGAAGACTTAATACTTCTCCCCAGGGAGCCTTTCTTCAACGTTCCCAACATCACTTTTCTGACAGCCCAAATGAATGAGAACACCCAGTGTCAATCCCCATGACTCAGGGCTGCTCTAGCTAAGACTACTTCTCCCCACCTATCGAACTAACACCCCCACGGGACTCTGTGGTCCCTACACCCCTCACAGGCAGTGAACGGAGGTCGCATGCTTTCCCAAATCCYGGCACCCAAAAGCTCGCCTCACACACGGGCTCTCGTAATGACAACGGCAATGCTTAGTCTTGCCAGGTGCTCTTCACCTGAGCTCTCACAAATCCTAATCTTTGGAGCGGGAGGGGAAGGGAGGTCCCTAGCTACTCTTTGGTGAGATGATGTCTTCCTGCAGCCCTCAGTGAAGGGGCGCAGCGGGCTGAGCCTGGCGGCTCACGGGGATGGCCGTACCTGGCACGGCCGGCACGGCCGGCGCCTCGGCGGGCACGGCGAGCGTGGCGTGGGGCTGCTGCTGGCTGGAGCTGACCTCGGGCTCGGTGCTCAGCGACGGCGAGGGGGCGGCCGCCTCGCAGCCCGGCGCCRCATTAGGCGCTGGCGGCGCCGCGTCCTCGGCGCCGGGGGGCTCCTCCTGCCCGGGCAGCTGCAGAGCGGACAGCGGGATGCTGATRGGCTTCCCGGCGGTGTTGGAGCTGCTCACAGGCGCCTGCGGGCCGGCGCCCCGCGCCGGGGACGCCACGGCACCGCGCGGCGGCTTCTGCGCGGGCGGCCGCGGCAGCACGGNNNNGGCGGCGCCCGGCGCCTCCAGGTCGGCGCCCGGCACCGGGGCGCCCAGCGGGGCGGGCTTGGCCGCGCAGGGGTAGGAGGTGCTGGAGTGAGGCTGGGGCTTGGGCTTGGACATGTGCRTGAGCGAGAGGGCCGGCCCGTCCACGCCGCCCGTCAGCTCGGCGTTGGCCACGATGTAGTAGTCCTCGGGCAGCTCCTGCTTTATCTTCTTGACGATGACCTCGCCGCCGCCCTCGTCGGTCRCCAGGGCCGGCGCGGTGGGGCACAGCGGGGCGGGCGGCCGCTTGCGCGCCATGCTCGGCGCCCGCTGCGGGTGCGGCTCGAAGTCGCTGTCCTCGTCGGTGACCGAGGACTCGCAGACCATGTCGAAGAGAGTGGCCTCGTCCTCGTACTCCTCCACGGCCTCRCCCAGCTCTGAGGGTTCGCTGCAGTAGGAGAAGTCGCAGGAGTCACGCGTGCGTGTGCAGTCCAGCTTGGCCTTGCCCGGCCGCCCTGGGTAGCGCTCCAGCGGGCTGGCCTGCGCCTCCGAGGGCACGCCGATGATGCTGGGGCTGTCCGAGTTGAAGCTGCGGCTGTCCTGGAAGCAGACGCGCTCCTGGGAGCCGGCCCGGCACGTGGCCGCCAGGGGCCAGTGGTAGGCATGGCCGGCGCTGCAGCCCCACATGGCCGTCAGGTTGCCGTGCGCGCCCTCCGAGAGCAGGTGCTTCAGGTTGGGGATGAGGCTGCAGATGGTGCCATGGCTGTGGGCCCAGCTCACCAGCTTCGACAGGTTTTCCGAGGAGGTGTGCAGGCAGTCCTCCATGGCGYCGGGTCAGCAGGCTCCCTCCTGCCAAAGCAACCAGAGACACCATGGAGGTCAGAGCCACCTGAGGCACCGCATGCCTACGGGCAGGCAGCAAAGCCCCGCTCCCGACCACCGCACGGGCCACCGGAGCAAGAACAGGGCTGTGCAAGCAAGCACGGCCTCTGCACGAGCTTGGCCAAGACCGTTTTAACCTCCCCTCATGTGCGCTCCTCACAGCAGAACTTGCTTTGGAGCAGTCTCTGCCCTGATTTTGCCCATAAACCTTCATGCCCAAGGAGAKACCGTCACAATACTGAACTTGATCAAATGGTTGCTCATCAAGCAACTAAACTGGATTTAATAACAATTTAATAACAACGACTACTGTTCACAGCATAATATGAGGCTTAAAGTTCAACCAAGATTCAAAGGCAACTGAAAAGCTGCTGAATGTGTCTTTATGCTTAATAGATGAAAATTAAGTAAAATATGTTTTCTAAGAATACAAAGTTTTCTAGAAAGCACAATTTGCTTTACAAGCACCAAGTCAAACAATTCCCTGAACGTTTATGACACTTTATTTCGTTTATGCATATTTCCTAAATGTCTCATATATCCCCTTTTCAACAGACTTTTAAGACTATTAAAATTAAGTCCTGAAAACTTTACTTTCCCATATAAGGACAAAACAAATAAGTTCACTCTTCCTTAAGCAATGCTGACACCCATTAGCTGTAAAAAATCTTAAGAGAAGATCARGGAACAGGCAAAGTTCAAATTGCACCTACATGACCTTTTATAAGGGACTCTGAAAGATTGTGGGGGGGCTTGTTGTGTTTTCCCCTGAGTGATCTTCCTGTGTCAAAGTGATCATTCACTACACTGATTCACTGAGTGATCATTCCCCTAATATCAAAGTAGTACATAAGTTCAAAAGTAAGCTTCTGATAATGTAAGTAAGCGTAAGGTTAGGGTACTTCTGTGCTTGTTCTGCCTGGATCCTGCTTGAAGGCCATGAGGATGCTGCAGGAGCTGGTATCTCCACAGGGTTGAGGGGCTCCTGGTAGTGGTAGGGCTGTCCCACGGCCCCACAAGGGAGCACGGCTGCTGCATCCCCTGTCTAGGAACTGGGATGGCTGATGCAGGAATGAATGGGACCCATGGGACAAAGTCAGGCCCATGGCTGGGCAGGGACTGGGCCATGGCAGGGATGGAGCTCAGCACCACTGTGGTGTCATGGGGCACAGACTGATGGCCTCATCTCTGGGTTGAGATAAGGACTGGCAAGGTGAAAAAAGCCCCTAGGGGGACTTACTTGGCTCACTGCGGCTTGCTGCTGCACTCAAGGTCCAGTCAAAGAATTAATATTTCATTGGGAATGYCCAGTTTTGAAATTCATGGAGATATCTAGTATGCACTGAAAATCATCTGTTTCTGCAGGAAATTGTTCACAGATTCCTTGCTGTTAGTAAAAAAATAGATTTTATTTTGATTTCTCTTAAAATGTTTGCTCTGCACACACTTTCAGTTTYGCGGTGCAGTCAATACTTATTTTCCTATTATTCAGATATTTTAGTATTTTCAGGTATTTTACTGCAATTTTTTTTTTTACTATAACCAAATGAGACACAGTCAATCAAATGCCTGTACAGTCCTAGACTAATGATCACATCAAGACAGATGGCACAAAATCATCTCACCAAACAGGTCCCACTACTGGGATACTTATAAGTCCCTGTGTGAGACGGGAAATTACAGTCTCCTGTGTAAAGATTCTCAAGGACTCTGGCTGGAAATTATCAAAATCAGTTGGCTAGATAACTTGCACAAGATGATTCTGGAGAGATTCAGCAGATGAAAAGATGAAACTGGCCAAGGGTCCTGAACCTGAACCGGACCATGGAGGGAAATCATGGATAATGGATCAATGGGGAAAAAATGCATCTTTAGGAAACTAGTTTCTTTTATTCCCCACATGGTGAGTAGTGTTGCCAGCAGTAGTCCAGACCACAGCATTATCTGCAGTGCAAAACTCCTTGCAGGACCGGTGCCTTTATGCAATACAAAACAAGCAACAGGATGCTGCACTTGTAAATTTACTAGGTAAAAAAGTGTTTTTCCTGTTAAAGATACAGCTTGAAAATGCTCAAAGTTTCTGTTTTATTGTTTATTTTAAACATTGTAAGGACACACTGTCCGTCCTGAATGGGCATCAGCTCCTCTGCTGACTGATAAATGAAAAGACTTGGATGCAAATCCCACCACAGGAAAAAAAGACACACAAAAAAAAATCCAAAATCATAAATTACTTGAGAACTATGTGTGTTTGGCTCACAAATTGCAGCAGAAGTTGACAATGCAAAGCAGATTCAACCTAGAGGAAATGTGGCTGATGATAGACACACAGCAAATCCATCCTCGACTGCCTGACTAGTCATAACTCCTTCAATTTGGGGATATAAAGTGATAAGCAACAAAGAAATCCTAAAGTTACAGGGTGAATGCAGAAAAATCTCCCACGGTGCAATAAAAGAAAACATCCTGTCCTGAAATTGTGTTTTGAAAGCTTCATAAAAGAAGAAGGGGCCTGAGAATTTTACTGAGTTTTCACACAGGACAAAAAGAACTGGCTTCCAGAAGAGGGAGCTTTAAGTAGCATATTGCTGGCTGGAAGGCTGATGTTATTTGCTAAATCACATTTTAAGGATTATGTAAGTCCTTCATTCAGACTGGCAGGACACAATGCAGAGACTCCTGCTTGAAATCCACCCACATGTACTTGAAAGTGGAAGAGTAGATGGCACATAGAAGCTATATCTTCATCATGAATAGCACCAGCATTTTAATGTTATTAAAAATGGCTAAAAGGAGCTGATCTGTCTTTGGAGTTCAGAACCTAGCAGTATCTCAGCCAGTGTGAAGCATCTCTARGTTCTGGAAATTCACTACAGCTATCTAAACTCTAAATTAAGAATCAGATTTTATAGTTGGATAAGTTTAGCTTTTATAGTCTCATTTATAACATGCCACTGTAGTGACGAGTATGCGCACAGTACATACTATGTCAGACAAGAGTTATGGTTGCAACATCATTCCTTGAGGAGGGTAAGAACTCAAATTGGAACATCAATTTTGCACCAGGAACACTTTCCTATGTTTAGAACTAGGTATTTGCCCAAAAAGTTTTAATTGGTGGCCAATGAATGGTAATAATTACCTTTAAAGCCCATCCTTTCTCATTTAATGTGGGACCTGACTCACACAATCTCAGCCCAATTTTATGCACAGCAGGAGGAACTGCCTCTAAGTTATAACCCCTAGAAGATTCTCTGAGGCCTGGCCAACCCCAGGATTAACAGTGATTAGCAACTGCAGCCACCACGAACCCTTTATCCCGCGCAGAGAAGAAACCACCAGCGTTTGGGAGGAACGACCAGACTATCCTATGGGCGCATGAGGGTGTTCCTGCCGGTGTTCTGGGAGCCCGAGGACCTCTTAGGAGGCTCTTCAACAAAAAAAAAAAAAAAAAGAAGATCTGCAATGTGCACCTACTGCTCAGGTGGGACAGGGGTACATTTTGTCGTAAGGAAGACAAGACACTTCATTGACAGCCTGCTCTATTGCAAGGAGCAAATAACCAGACAAGTCAACACAGACTAACACAGTGATGCCTGTGCATCACAAATTGGCATGTTGAAAATCCTTTTACCATCATTATTTATGAGCAGGAACTTGTACTGATTTTTGTGCAATGGAATAGTACATGGCTACGTTAGCCAAACCTTGGGATGTTATCCTCAGGCCAGCACTACTGAGAATTGTCTGAAAGCCCAAATTCTCAAGTTGGATTACAATGCAAAAAGATCACTTTTGCTGATAATAGGAAGTATCTTTCTAATCTTACATCTTCAGAAAAACTCTAAAACCTGAATCCCAAAACTAAAAGGAATTCCTCATTTACTCATTTTAGATAGCACAGATTTCAAATCAAAGTTTCTACAGTCCAAATCTAGTACATAAGTATCTTCTGTATGCAGAAAACAGTTACAGCWTAGAGACTAGGAACAAACCAACCAGCTCCACAAGCACCAGGGGAAAGGACAAGCCTCCACCTCTGATATTTAGCGCATGGTTGTCCTTAATTAGGAAAATGTGTTTTTAATTGAATGTTTCTCAAGGAAATAGAGAAGAAAGGTTCACAAATTCAGGGTGGATATGCAAGCCCCTGAAATAGTATGGCAATGTTATATATCTTTAAAATACTGAGAATCCCCACTGCTCTATTCATTTGTCATTGCTCCCTTGCAGCTTTGTACAGACACCAGCTGGTTACTTTAAGAGGAAAAACAACCTATCATCTTAACAAAATCATTGATTGCTTTCTAATTATGTGATCTTGTACTGCTTGCTCATGTTTTTAGCAGCTCCACAAGAAATGATACAGCTGATGTAGAAATAAGTAAGAATTTAAAGTAGGAACAAAAGAAAACCTGCATGCTAATTTCCACCTCCATATTTCTACCACACCTCTATATGATTTTACTTTTGTATATCTTGTGCCTTGGCCCTTCTGAAGTCAATGGGTGTTTTGCTACTAAATAAGTGGACCGCAATTATATCCACAATGAACCTCAATTATAGTTCCTATAACCAGTGAGCAGCATCAAGAACTCTGAATTTGGGGTGAAGAAAGAAAAAAGGAAAATGCATCCATCTTCCCAGGCAGACAGCGCTAATCTCCATTCATAAAATCTCACAGTTGTTTCTCACCCTCGTTTGGTGAGACCACAGCTCCTCCTCAGCTGATGGCTAGTCTTTAGGAAAGACACTCTCCTTGCCAAGTGTGGCATGCCTTCAGCACAGCAACTGTGCAGAAGGCAGGGAAAACAGTTTGCTGGTAGAATTCTTTCTGTTTTCTGAGAAAGAAGAGGAACCAGGGCTAGATGCTTGGTCGTCTTCTCGCTTGGAAGACACCACAGGGTTGTGAGCCTCCCAAGAGCCTGCCTCATTCACAAAAT